GAGAAAATGTATATATGCCGTTTTTGTGGCGCTGGTCGTGAACAAAGCGCTTGTCGACGTACTCAATCCAAAGAAATTTTGCTCCTGATGTTGACTGCAATGATGGAGAAGGGCAAAATATCAGTGTCTAATGCGCGATCATTGTATTATGAAGGCATCCGTTTACGACAACGCATCTGTAAAATCCACTTTAACGAAGGGGTGAGGTGTATAAGGTTTGAGAGGTGCGATTCAGGTACAAGAAATGTTTTTTATAGGCATCTTATATCGGCGAGCTTGTAGGAAGAATATGCAGAACTGCTGTGCAGGATCTCTTCACTGTGCCGAGTTATGTTATGGAAGAAGCTATTGCTCATTTTGAACCGTACATTAGAGACATTGATGTGAGTTTACTGCTGTTCACATTTTTGCATCGCTGATAGTTGTTGCTTAGGCTGATTTCAAGCTGACAGCCTATCATGTGGCAGCATTCCATCGAGACTTCAGTTTGGCTGAAGTGACAATCGGATCTCAGACAGAAAAAGAATCATTCCATGCTTGTCTCCCAGAGTCTCTAAAATTAGAAAAAACGGATCCACAACTGCTCGAAGAGCATTTTCTAGTAAAGGGGAGTCAGCTGCTGAAACTATTCCGTTTCTGTCCATCCTGTGGTAGTAAAATAGCAGACTCGGAGTGTGTGAGTCTGACAGCCTCTGGGAAGGCTCCCATTGTGCACTACATCTGCACGGAATGTTCCCCTTTTGAGAAACGTTTCGAAGGACAAGAAGACGACGCTCCCCAGCCAAATGAGATTGGCTTTAATGGCGATGTTAAGATTGCTACGGCTTCTGAATTAATGGACAGCCTGTGTGAGGTTTGTTGCACACAATCGTTTTATTAATCTGCATTACTTACTGATGATCAATTTTAGAACCCGCAGCCGTTGGCCGAAGAAGCTGTCATTGACATTTCCCCGAATGCCTCACCACTTTTTGGGTTGAACCAGCTGAAGGCTGACGAAGAGATTGAGTCTACTTCTGGAAAAAGGTTTATTGTTTCTCCTCCCCCTCTTTAAAAACACACGACCTTGTTAGGAATTTTCCATTGAACTTTAGTCTGAGGTAGTAGGCTCCGCAGACCAAATACCTAACCATTCGGTGCCGGCCGCGGCGCAACGCGGCCGAAGTTGTAGTTGCCCGCGAATCAGCACACCACAGTTCGCGGGCACCGATGGCGCGTTTTTCGAAAGGTTAGCCGGCACTGCGACTCGCCGCGTGTGGTCGCGCGGCCGCGCCCAAAATGGTTAAGATATATGTTGGCGCGATGTAGTATCTCGCCGTTTCGAAAAAATCATGCGACTGAAGACACTGTTTTTTTTTGATCAATAAACTGTCAGACCTAGATTACCAACGCCTAAATTCAAAGTATTTTGGATTCCAAACGGAGTTCAGTGTGTACGCGATGAACTGGTTCAACATGACCCTCTTATTTGGGTTTAAGAATCAATAGAGATTCCGGACTCCATCCGCGAAGAACGGACACGCAGAGTTAAAGCCAAACTCCAGTTTTCTGTTGAGGCAATCATCTACGACCGACAAAGCGATATTAATTTACACTGGCGATAGACGACAGCTCGTTTGACAAACAGTTCCCGTACCGGGGTGTATAGCAGTTTCACATTACTTTTATGCTAATGTTGAAGAGCGATGAAGAATTATTTCACGCGACAACTTCTCATTATTTTAGAAATATTGAAGAATGCCCACAGGTACGTTGAGCGGAAGATTCCACGAGATGCGAATCACTGTAGGAATGCGGCAATAAACTAACAACTAAGGGATAGCGCTCTAAATTTCTGAAAGTGACACATTAAGACACATCTAAAGAAGGAATCGCAGACTCAGGCCACAATGAATTGAAAGCTCATTTGGACCAGGCACGCTAGAAACGCATTACCGGTGTTCTAACTGTAAAGGGTGCCAAACATTTCGCCCGCTGTGCGCACGATTATGATTTTTTTTATCAATAGATGTTATACTGACGAAGAGTCGATCCAGATGCGAAAAATCGGTTCGGCATACCGTATTTGCTTGGCTTCAGCTGTATACATTTCGTAAATTAGATATATGGGTGGATAGTTTCGTGGACATGCAGGCTTCGAATGCAAAACGCTCCCAACCAGCGTTTTCGAGATTTCATATTAAAGCAGTTATTAAACCATGTCAGATAACGTCTAAGTGGGCCATGAGCCGTCGAGGACTCTGTTGAGCTCTACCGGTGCATCTTGTTTCCCGATGGCAGACTCTTTTGATGCAGTTTGCGTGAGCCATTGCCATTGCCATTGAAGTTTTTACTTATAAAATGAAGGAGGGTTTTTTTATGAAATGAAATGCGCTCTTCAATTTTTATTTGGGAGCATTCGTATTAAATTAGTGAACTTCCATTTGAATGTGGGAGAAATGTCTTTTTCATTGCCATTCCCTGCAAACAATTACATTTACTACTATTTACTACTATTTACTTAAGTACTCATTTTCTGTTTCCAATGGTGTTGTGTTGCCTCGTCACAGTTCTCCATGTTAGAACATTTTTCAATCTGAATACGTGAGAATTTTGTGTGTAAATATGTTTCTATTATAAATTTCCGTCATCACTAGACTATAAAGAAGTGGTTGTGCGCGTTAGGTTATGAAAAATGAAGACGAATCAGAGCAAGGAAGTGATTCAACGTAGGAGAAATAAAAGTATGATGACTCGTTTGGTAGCTTTGTATTAACTTTGTCCTCGGGTCGCAACTCAGATTGATTCAAATGATTTTCTTCTTACTGTACCCTTATATTTCCATAGAAATTTATGTTGTCTTTTTTTCTGTTTTTTTGTTTTCTGAAAATAAATGAATACAGATGTTGATAGATTCACAAACTTAAACGCCATGTAAAGCAAATTGCATGATGATTCGCTTTCAAGTTT